TTTGTGTCCTAGGTGTCGGAGGGAGGGGGGGGGGTGATGAGGGAGGTGTCGTGGAAATTAACGTCGAGGAGGTGGCGGGACAATATGCCATGGGTCCTGAGGAGGGAGGTGCAGGGGCGGAAACCTGGGGGAAAGAGATGGCTGCAGAGGAAGGGTGGAACTGGGGTGAGGACATGCAACCCGTGGAAGAGACAAGCGTGTAAGCTGACATAGATGTAGATGAGGGGGGCGGGGAGGGAGGTGCACTGGTAACGGGCTCCAGCTGTGACACGCGGGCCGACAGGGATGAAAAGTCGGTATGGAGGGCCTCGAGTCTGGCCTCGAATCTGGCCTGCATGTTCTCGAGGAGAGCCAGTAGGCGATCCGATTGGGCGGTTGGACTCGAACTGGTGGCCATAGGGTGGAAATGTGAGTCGAATCAGCCATGGTATCGTGAGCTAGTAGCGCAAGGCCTTCGCTGATGGAGCGGGAGGGACTTGCGAACTCCACACTTTGCATAGAGTCAGGGGATGAAGAAGATGAAGAGGGGGAACTGAGACGGGGGGGGCGCTCAGTGGCAACAATCGACGCGTCAAAGCGAGCGAGTCGGTGTGCGGCACGGGCGTCTCGGGCGCGATTTTGGAGTACGTGCTGCTGATTGTCTCGGGGAGCCAGATTGGCATGCAGAAAGGGGGGCAAGAAAGGAATGCGTATAGAAATGAGCTCTAGCGAACTTCCATAATTAAATCAAGATAATTCAAAATCAGATTGAGGGAGGAAGGGAGAAATTTCAAATTGGGGCAAGGAGAATGAGAAGAAATTTTCACAGAATGGCATGGGGCATAAAGGAAAGCATGCGCAAGACCCTCACGAAGTCAAAATAAAATTCCAAAATTATTTGGACGTAAATTCAGAATTTAAGAAAATTTTAAACAAAATTCACCAAATTTCAAAATTATTCGTAAAAACTTCCGAAAGTTCGGGAGGGTGACAGCAGAGATAAAGGTGAGTTCAGAGGAAAAGTTTGAAAGAAAAGTAAAAAATTCCGTGGCGTATTTACGAATTAAAAGAATTTCGAAGGGAATTTGAAATAAAAATAGGGAACTAATTCTTTAATTAAGAATTTACGACAAAATGGCAGAAGGAATTAATGACAGCCAATAAAATAAATCAAGATAAATTTCGAAATTACTTGGATTAATTTAAGAAAATTTAGCAACACGTTGCCAATTTAAAAGGAATTCCAAAAGAAGTTCCAAAAGAATTTTAAAAGGAGTTGCAGAATTTCAGAATTTTACGGGGAAGAGGACATAGAAGCCGAGTCGACATCAGAAGAATTAAATTTAGTAATTCCGAAATTTGTTTCACGAATTTCTGAAATGAAATTGAATTTTGAAATTAAATAACAAAAAGAATCAAGAAAGTAAAGAAATTTGCGTAGCTTTTGAACAAAAATGCCAGAATTAATTCCGATCAAGGGGTTGGGAGAAAGGGAAATGAAAATTAATCCTACCGAATTAGATCAAAGTTCCGAACGACAGGTTGGATGGCATTGTCAGGCAAACCCTAAAAGAGAAAATATGTGTCATGCACGTTAGGAATTTTAGATGATGCAACCAATTGGATGGGATGGGAGAGGGGGAAGGGGGAAGGGGGAAATGGAGAGGAGATAGAAGAAGAGGAAAAAGATGAGATCTTTAGGAGGGATCAGCAGGAGGAAGGGGGGGAATTAGTAAGAGGGAGTGAGATTGACAATACCCACTCCCCGTTGGCCGGGAGCAATCAAGGTCCTTCCTCTAGTCGAAGAAGGTCTTCAATCAACACCTAAAGGGTCTTCTCGATCTTTCCCCCGGTGGAACGACGAGGTCACTGGATCTAATGCGCGCAATGAAGGTGAGAAGCCATGACAATGATGACGTTGACAGTTGCGGCGATGATGATGATGATGATGATGATGATGCTCAGTTGATGATGGCTGTGGCGAGATGTCAACATTGCGTCCCTGTCATGGGCAGTTAGGTAGGGGCAGTGGAATCTCATTAATCCATTCGAGCGCATCACCTGCGTCTATCGGCGGCATCAAGGATTGAACACCGATGACGCTGGCGAGTGAGCAATCCAACACTTGGTGAATTCTGCTCCACAGTGATAGGAAGAGCGACGTACAAGGATCAAAGAGCAATGTGGCTCTATGAACGCTTGGCGGCCGCAAGCCAGTTATCCCTGCAGTAACTTTTTGGATACCTCTAGCTTCAAGTCCGGAAACGCTAAAAGATCGATATACCAAGCTCTCACAGTTTGTACGCTTACTGGAGATCAAAGTCAAATAAGCTTTTGCCCGTTTGCTCCAAACGAGATGACTGTTCTCGTTGAGCTCATTTTAGGACACCTGCTTTATCTTCTAACAGATATGCCACTCCAGCGCAGGTGTCCTGGCGTGCATGTGCACGTGGGCGAAGGTGGGGCGCAACCAGGGTGGGAAGCGCGAGTGGATGTGCGAGGGGGGGGATGGGGGGAGGGCGCAAGCGGAGATGGAAGCGGGAGCGGGGTCGCGATGGCAACTGAGGGAAAGAGAGACGGGCGGGAACGGGGGAGGAATTGCCGGGGGGGAAGGGCGATCGGCGATCGGGCGGAATTGAGGCTGTCTCTTATACACATCTAGATGTCCCTGTCAGGTTTGGTTTCCTCCTCCCTTTCTTTACCTCTTTGCCTTTTGGCTGCGTGCAAGTGGGTCCTTGTGACACANCTCCCCCTCACTTCCTCACCCCCTGGCCCCAACCTGCCCCCTACAGAAAGCCCAACAGGCAGCGATTGCAGGTGGGAGGTCAGTGTAACAGTGCCTGTTGCAGATTGAGGAAAGTAGCCCCTCCCCAAAAGAACGAGGGAACAGTCAGGCAGAGCACTCCCACAGCAATGCAAGAAAGCCAAGGAAGAAGAAGCTTTCCACCAGTCACCAGCAGGACCAGGCTCACGGCGAAGGCATCAACGATCGAGTCAAAAGGAGGCTATACTTTGAGTCCTGATGTTACGCGAAACAGGAGAAGGGGAATGCAGAGCTTGATCCATGAGGCCTGATATCAAAGGATGCCGGAGAAGAGGAATGCAGAGTTTGATCCCTCCAGTTGTATTCAGTGACGATTTGTGTCAAAGGCATTAAGGCTAGGGGCATAATAATGTGTTGTATAGATAGCAGATGCTAGAAGAGGCAGTAGAAGGAAAAAGGCAGGACCCACCCCTTCTAGATGCAATCATTGAGCTTATGCCCCTATGCTACTGTTCTACTGTTCATCAGGGACGCTGGACCCAGTTTCCAGCAGGTGCAGCTCCCCACCAATGGAACGGAGCAATCAACAGGGTGAGGTTTCAGACAGGAAGATGCTCTTACCAGAGGGCCATCCACCTCATAAGGAACAGGGATCTCTACCGACCGTCTGGATAACCAAATGGCAGACTACCCAGGGTGAATGTCATACATCTACAGTCTTCCCCTGAATACAACGTACAGTCATTATAGCTGAATTTGGGGTATCTTTCAGTCTAAATACAGCTGTACGTTGTATCCGGGGGAAGAAGGTAGCATCCAACCTCTACAACAACCTGGACTGCATGTGCAAAAAAAAAAAAAAGAAAAGCAAAAGGGAAACAATGCCTGGCAATTCCCCCCCCCCCCCCCTCCCCCCTTCACGGCCTACCTACCATTACGCCTAAGGCTTATACAGGGGACCCTTCAAACATAGCTTTGTTGTCTCCCTCCAGCCATCAGAGGCGATGCATGTTGCCCTCCGCCCCAACCATGGTGGTCAGGCATTTTTCAATTTCAATTTTCTAACATAAGCTGTACTGGAAGGGAAAAACGGACCCCAGGGGATGGGGCCGAGTGGGCCCAAGGGAAACCTTTCCAAAGGGCCGTTCAACAGGCTGTTCAAAGGGCTGTTCAACTACAAGTACACACCTTCGCCCATTGGGACAAACAGTGGACGTGTAACCGTTCGTAAACGGGGTCACGAGCTAGTAATATGACCACCAATCAGTGTGCAGCGGCACTGGCCACTGATCGCATCACCATCACGGGCCTGAGAAAATCATCAATTGTCCCATTCAAAGACAAAACAAATCAACGGCAAACTGTGGACAGCCATTGGCTGCTGCATCCTGGCAAGATTCTGAGTCAACCCAAAGGGGACCTAAGTGTCTGCCACACGGTTGGGGATGGTAGAAACAGAAACAGAAACAGAAACAGAAACAGAAACAGAAACAGAAACAGAAACAGAAGCCCCGCAAGATCAGTCTGATTTTTTTCCTTTTTGGGAGCAGTCTGATGTACCTTGGGAGGCTTGGGGTGATCATGCTTGCAGAGGTCCCTTGTCTAGCCTGAGGAGTAGTGGTAGGTAGGTAATGAAAGATGAAAGAATTTGAGAGAAGAACACCGTGTAGTTTAGAAAAAACTTCAAAAAAGGGAAAAAAAGATAATGCTTACAGTTACAGCTGCGTCAGTGCATGTCAGGACAGCTGGCAGGCTGCCATGCTTCGTTCATGTCAGACAACAAACGTTCCTTTTCAACACAGCATGGAAATATGCCTACATTGAGCTCTTTTTCATGGGCCCTACTGCTCTGTCACATGCTGTCGCGCAGTACTACCATCTTCATCCACACAGAATGCCTGCTTGCTAGACTGCAAATTGCCCCAAATACAGCTGTAACGACCAGGTGTTCTATTCGAATCTGCGTTGATTCAACTCCCAATCAGCATGCAATCACACACCACGCACAGTAGAACATTCATGTGAGAAGTCACACTGGAAACCGAGAGATGAAAACCAAAGTCACACTGACACACCGAATTATTGTATCATACAAAGAAATTGTTTGTATCCTCCAGCGGCAGCACACCAACCGAGTACGAGCCAGGTATGTAAAGCTCTCCCCTCTCCCTCTTGTGTGACTCTCCCTCTCTCTCATGTCTTGTATCGCTCAACCTCCCTGTCATGCTCATGCTCTCCCTCTCCCTCATGGATCCAACCTGCATACAGCTGCAATGTACTCCTCCGAACCTCTGTGGCTATGGCCGTCTTCTTCGTCCTCCCTAGCTATGGTAACCAGACATCTCCTTCCTCGCTGGGCACTTGCTCCTCCTCTAGCGCCCCCTCCCATCCCCGTCGCACTGTCGCACAAGCAACCCAGTGCTTCCGTAATTTGCACATGAATAGTTGATCCCGTTGGCTGGTGCTGCTAAGATTTCCGCTTTCCAGACATCTTCTGTTGGTTATGGGTCAGACCTCTTGCCTTTGTTCCCTGCTTCTGGAAGCTCACGGAGGGTTGGCTGCGTGCGTGAATCGACTAGCACCTGGCCTAATGTTGGCTGAAGTTGTGGTACCTCCTAAAGACAGACTCTTCAACCTATAACTGTTATCTACCAGGGACTTCCTATCATGACCTACTTTCTTTTTTTTTCTTTTTTTTTTTAAGAAATAGCCCGATCGACTGCTAGGGGTGCTGATAAAAGCAGGCACCGCTAGCATTGTCGGGGAGGCTCCATCTATTGGTGGGGAGCAGCACCTGCTGGAAATCGGGTCCAGCGTCCCTGTAAAGTACAATGTAAAGTACGATGTCTGAGTTGAAACCAGTGTAAACAGGAAGCGGCAGTGTGCATGAGAGGGCTGGCCAGTGATCGGCCCGGCCACTACCTGTCATAAATTTGTCAAAGCCAAAGCCAAAGCCACGAGTAACTGGAACGAATGATGCAATTATGCAATTATAGTCTGT